GGACCCAGGAAAACAAGGAGATTAGTAGAAGAGCCAGAAACGAGTATGCACAGATAAGGAGGGAGGCCCAGCGACAGTATGAAAACGACATAGCATCGAAAGTCAAATCTGACCCGAAACTGCTGTATAGCCACATTAGGAGGAAGACAACAGTCAAGGACCAGGTGATAAGGCTGAGGAAAGAAGGTGGAGAACTCACAAGAAACGATCAAGAGGTATGTGAGGATCTAAACAAGAGATTTAAGGAAGTATTTACAGTAGAGACAGGAAGGACTCTGTGGGGACAGACCAGACGGGGACACCAGCAAGGAATACACCAACAAGTGTTGGACGACATACATACAGATGAGGAGGAGGTGAAGAAACTGCTAAGGGACATCGATACCTCAAAGGCAATGGGACCAGACAACATCTCCCCGTGGGTCCTTAGAGAGGGAGCAGATATGTTGTGCGTGCCACTTACCACAATCTTCAACACATACCTGGAAACTGGGCAACTACCTGAGGTATGGAAGACGGCAAATGTAGTTCCCATTTTTAAAAAAGGAGACAGAAAAGAGGCACTAAACTATAGACCTGTGTCATTGACGTGTATAGTATGCAAAATTATGGAGAAGATTATCAGGAGGAGAGTGGTGGAGCACCTGGAACGGAACAGGAGTATAAATGCCAACCAGCACGGATTCACGGAAGGCAAATCCTGTGTCACAAACCTTCTGGAGTTTTATGATAAAATAACAGAAGTAAGAAAAGAGAGAGAGGGGTGGGTTGATTGCATCTTCTTGGACTGCAAGAAGGCCTTTGACACAGTTCCTCACAAGAGATTAGTGCAGAAGCTAGAGCATCAGGCGCATATAACAGGAAGGGCACTGCAATGGATCAGAGAATACCTGACAGGGAGGCAACAACGAGTCATGGTACGTAATGATGTATCACAGTGGGCACCTGTGACGAGCGGGGTCCCACAGGGGTCGGTCCTAGGACCAGTGCTATTTTTGGTATATGTGAACGACATGACGGAAGGGTTAGACTCAGAAGTGTCCCTGTTTGCAGATGATGTGAAGTTAATGAGGAGAATTAAATCTGATGAGGACCAGGCAGGACTTCAAAGAGACCTGGACAGACTGGACACCTGGTCCAGCAAATGGCTTCTCGAATTTAATCCTGCCAAATGCAAAGTCATGAAGATGGGGGAGGGGCACAGAAGACCACAGACAGAGTATAGGCTAGGTGGCCAAAGACTGCAAACCTCACTCAAGGAGAAAGATCTGGGGGTGAGTATAACACCGAGCATGTCTCCGGAAGCACACATCAATCAGATAACTGCTGCAGCATATGGCGCCTGGCAAACCTGAGAACAGCATTCCGATACCTTAGTAAGGAATCATTCAAGACACTGTACACCGTGTATGTCAGGCCCATACTGGAGTATGCAGCACCTGTTTGGAACCCGCACTTGATAAAGCACGTCAAGAAACTAGAGAAAGTACAAAGGTTTGCGACAAGGTTAGTTCCAGAGCTAAGGGGAATGTCCTATGAGGAAAGATTAAGGGAAATCGGCCTGATCACACTGGAGGACAGGAGGGTCAGGGGAGACATGATAACGACATATAAAATACTGCGTGGAATAGACAAGGTGGACAAAGACAGGATGTTCCAGGGAGGGGACACAGAAACAAGAGGCCACAATTGGAAGTTGAAGACACAAATGAGTCAGAGAGATAGTAGGAAGTATTTCTTCAGTCATAGAGTTGTAAGGCAGTGGAATAGCCTAGAAAATGACGTAGTTGGAGGCAGGAACCATACACAGTTTTAAGACGAGGTTTGATAAAGCTCATGGAGCGGGGAGAGAGAGGGCCCAGTAGCAACCGGTGAAGAGGCGGGGCCAGGAGCTAAGACTCGACCCCTGCAACCACAAATAGGTGAGTACAAATAGGTGAGTACACACACACACACACACACACACGCGCGCGCGCGCGCGCGCCACACACACACACACACGCGCGCGCGCGCGCACACACACACACACACACACACAAATGTAGCTTCAAGAAACTTTGAACTTTGTCAGGGTAAAGATTTATTCTGTATCTTTGTTCCTTTACCAGTTTTGGTCGAAAGAATCTGTCTCTCTCTCTCTCTCTCTCTCTCTCTCTCTCTATATATATATATATATATATATATATATATATATATATATATATATATATATATATATAACGTAAATAACAACAGTCCTCGGCAGACAGCCTCGCTGACGACTTTCAAATCCTCTGCTGTCTGTCTTTTTCCATTTTCCATGTATTCTAATGTAATCTCCTTCCTCCCTTTCATTTTCCCTCTTCCCCTTCCTTCCTTCCTTTCTCCCTCTTCCCCTTCCTTCCTTTCTCCCTCCTTTCCTCACTTCCTTGCCTTTCCTTCCCACCTTCCTCTCTTCTCCTTCTCTCCTCTCCCTCCCTATTCCATCGCTCCCTCTCTACTTTCCTCCCTACCTAACTACCTCCCTCTCTCCTCCCTACCTTCCTCTTTCCTCTCTCCATCCTCCCTCTTAGCTCCTTCCTCCCTCCTTCCCTACTCTCCTCCCTCCCTACTCTCCTCCCTCCCTCTTAAGTGTAATAAAAGTTAACACTTCCTGGAATAAAGTGTAAATCTTACACTTCGAAATCATAATAATAATATCATTAAGCAAATGATCATTATCAACTTACATTATTTTTCTAAGATCCAATAATAACCACAAAAAATATATTACATTTTTATTTATTTTTTAAATATGGTTTGTGAAGTTGCGTCATGACTTGAGATCCTTCATTATTGTGTTTTATAAGTGGGAAGAAGAGGAGGAAATCTGGTGTAATTACTTTGATTACGTAATTAGGAAAACATCCAATATTTTGTGACCTTGTGAGGTGTTGGGTGGGGGTGAGGGTTGTTCTGGTAGGGGTGTTGGTGGGAATGGTAATGGTGAGGGTAGAGGTAGTGGTGGGGCTGGTGGTTGAAAGTGTTGTGGTAGTGGGAATGGTGGTGGTGGTGGTGGCAGTAGATGGTAAAGACAAGAAGGTACTAGAGTGCTCACACTGAGGCTGTCTGCTGAGAACTATCAACTTCTCTCTAGATTAAGCCCCTCAAGGAAGGTTCCTTGATGTTGGTGAGGGGCTTTTGATTTAGGGAATTGGATCTGTGCTCCAGTTCCCCGAATTAAGCCTGAATGCCTTCCACATCCCCCCCCCCAGGCGCTGTATAATCCTCCGGGTTTAGCGCTTCCCCCTTGATTATAATAATAATAATCCCTAGATTAAGAACTCATGTATTATCTAGGTGTGAGTCACGGAAGAGTAGTGATAGTGTGATCCGTCGGGGCTATTTTTTAATATCCTTATTTGCTGGGGTAAATACAAGACTTTTGCAAACAGTCTGCATTGATTGAATCGAAAAAATCTAAATGCGGTAGGAAAACGTTGAAAAACTAACGTTTTATAAGCGTCATTTTGTAGGCCATCTCTAGCACGCATCCTTTGGGAATCCCGAAGACCATGATGGGGGTCTCTGACCTGGCCCGGGGATCTTACGTGGCCCCTGACCTGCCCTTGGGCCCGGGGCAGGAAATAGTGGGAATTAGGGCTGTGGGACATGTAGGCTTCATTTTATGTTGTGTTTCATATCACTACGTTTGTTTTTCTTGACACCAATGGAATCCTGCCAGTGTTGCTGCTGTGGGGGGTGTAAGGTTGTTTGCCTCGCCTGCTAAGTCATTGTTGCAGCAACAGTAGAAGTAGTAGTAACAGCAGCAATAGCAGCAGCAACAGTAATAGCAACAGCGGCGATACCATCAGCAACAGTAATTTAATAGCAGCAAACAGGAGCAGAATCGGTGGCAAGCGCAACAGTAGCAATAGCAGCAGTATGAGGCACAGCAATAACAGCAATAACAAAGCAGCATTAACAGAAGCAATAGCAGCATTAGTAGAAGTAATACCAGCAACAACAGAATCAGCATCAGTAACAGCAACAGTAATAGCAGCAGCAACAGAAGCAGGGTCAGTAACAGCAGCAACAACAGAAGAGCATCAGTAACAGAAGCAGCGTCAGTAACAGCAGAAGTAATAGCAACAACAGAAGAGCATCATTAACAGCAGCAGCAACAGAAGCAGCATCAGTAACAGCAACAGCAACAGCAGAAGCAGCATCAGTAACAGCAACAGCAGAAGCAGCATCAGTAACAGCAGCAGCAACAACAGAAGCAGCATTAGTAACAGCAGCAGCAACAACAGAAGCAGCATTAGTAACAGCAGCAGTAACAACAGAAGCAGCATTAGTAACAGCAGCAGCAACAACAGAAGCAGCATTAGTAGCAGCAGCAGCAACAACAGAAGTAGCATCAGTAACAACAGCAGCAACAACATACTGTGTCAGGTCTCCTGACGGGGAGGCTTCAGGTGGGTGTGGTGTCAGCCAGCGTGTGGTGGGTTACGTCGTCAAGTCTCCTGACGTGGAGGCTTCAGGTGGGTGTGGTGTCAGCCAGCGTGTGGTGGGTTACGTCGTCAGTCTCCTGACGTTGGAAGCTTCAGTGGGTGTGGTGTCACTAGCGTGTGGTGGGTTACGTCGTCAAGTCTTCCTGACTGGAGCTTCAGGTGGGTGTGGTGTCACAGCGTGTGGTGGGTTACGATCGTCAAGTCTCCTGACGTGGAGGCTTCAGGTGGGTGTGGTGTCAGCCAGCGTGTGGTGGGTTACGTCGTCAAGTCTCCTGACGTGGAGGCTTCAGGTGGGTGTGGTGTACAGCCAGCGTGTGTGGTTACGTCGTCTAAAAGTCTCCTGACGTGAGAAAACTTCAGGTGGACAGCGTTGCAGTTTTATTTGTTTTCATTTGCTTTTCGTTTCTAGTTAACTTTTAATTAGGCGGAATGTCAGTGTTACTTTTAATGTTTGTGTGTAGCTCTATCATAACTAAACGTGATAAATATGTCTTCCTTGCTACTCACTGTCAGTGTTAATGATTTTAGGATTAATGTTGAATCACCAGTCTTGCCCCGAGGATGCAATCAGCAGTGAAGGACACTTTACAGGAAAAAAAAGTGGATTGATCGTGTCACATCCTGTGACTCTCAAGACACTTAGACTGAACAGTTAATGTGGAACGTACGTAGTTGTTCACCACTGAAGCCACTCCCTGGAGAACCTAATTTATTGGAAACTTTAGTTGTTTAAAACTTTGAAAAACGTAATTGGAAGCTTGAAAAAAAAGTTTTAGTGGATCAGCGTTAAGTGATTTTTTTTATTTATTTATTAAATTTTGAATTTACAGTGAATTCGTAAGTCAATGGAACTGACATATGAACGTAAATAGGACGGATTTAGTGTTAGTTTGTGGAGATATTGAAGAACGGAAGAAACTGCTCGTTGCAGTGTGTAGGAACGTTGCTATGTCGAGATTTGAGGACGAAAACGGAACAGCTTTGAAGCCATGATACGGTCACCCTTCAATGGTTAGGGAGGAAGTATTGAGGCACGTGGTGGTGGTGTTGTTGAACCACTACCGCCAGAGAGGGCTGGTGACGGTGACGGAGGTGAGGCTGGCCATGACCTGCCTTCTGGCCCTCGGTCTCTTCGACGACAGCACCCATACCCAGCACTTGATCCTTCAGGAACCTGACGATAATGCCAGCCACCTCCCTTCTGAGAATCTGGGGCAACGAGAATCTGCATCACATCAGCAGGAGCAGGACATGGAAAGACGCGTGGAGCAACAGCAGCCAGAGAACCTGGACCAGCCTGACATGTGGGTCCCAGACCAGCAGGGACCCACGTACTTGCAGCAGCAGGAATCTGGGGACCTGCAGCAGCACGAATCTCAGAACCTGCAGCAGCAGGAACCGAAGTACCTGCAGCAGCGGGAACCCAAGTACCTGCAGCAGCAGGAATCCGGGTACCTACAGCAGCAGGAATCCAAGGACCTGCAGCAGCAGGAACCCGAGTACCTGCAGTGGCAGGAACCCGAGGACCTGGACCATCAGGAACGAGCAGACCTGAACGACCAGGAACTCCTGCACCTGATAAACAAGCAGGATCCAGAAGATCAATACCAGCAGGGTACGGACGACCTGTACCAGCAGGTCATGAGCAACGAATTCAGTCATGAGGAAAAACTGACGAAAGACCTGGATCAGCAGGACATGAGAAACCTGGACCAGCAAGAGCCGGAGGACTTCTGGCACCAGGACCTGGAGTGCCAGGACTCCGGGAACCTGGACTTGGAGCATAAGGACTCTGAGGATCACCTTCATCAGTATCCTGATGACCTGAAGAAAGAAAACATCTATCTTTCCTCTAACCAATACATGCATGAGTCTTCCGTTTCTGATACCGAAGAACTGACGGAGGAAGTGGAAGATGACTTCGAAGAGGGGGAAGAGGAAGAGGAGGAGAGTTACAGAACTGCCCAAGAAAATTGGACAGGGAGTGATACTTGTGGGGATGATGATGATAGCGTGGAAGAACAATTAGAGGTGAGTATCGTTTATGAAGAGGAAGAGGAAGATAGTGGGGAAGAGAACGATGATAATGTGAGCAGCGAGGAGCGCTTGGTTATTGATGACGATAGTGAAGAAAGCGAGACACGGGAAGCTGGAGCCATGAAAACAGATGGCAACTTGCTTGAAGAAGGTCTTGAAAGTAAATTCGAGCCCGAGCGTGGCAAGGGAGATAGCGATCATTCAGTCACTCCTACGATAGAGGAATATGATAGAGAATGGAAAAGCGAAAGAAAACGGAGTATGGACCCAGCAGGGGAACTATTGTGCGATGAGGAAGGTAACTGGGAAAACCTGAACATTATTGACTTTAGAGAAGATGTTTTTCATAGTACATTTTATGATGAATCGATGTTGGGCGATTATAATGATGCTATTGACAGGGAAAGAACAGTTCACCCTCGAGAAGTACCTAGTGAAATTAGGAATGTGAAATGTGATTATAGTGATGAAAAAGAGAATCAGTCGCTAGTAGTGTGTGCTGTTGACTGTACACACAATGTTGAAGCTGAAGTTGGAAATGATATTAGAACAAAATCTGAAAGTGATTCATTTTTCGAAGCCTGGGAGAGTGAGCATGATAGCCACAAAAGAAGGGAAGGGGGATGCAGTGATAAAACAGAGAAAGAGGGATTAAAACAAACTACTTTGACTACGACAGTGGAAATGAAGAGTGACGAGGTAGTGGTTCCAGGTAGCAAGTGGGTCCTGGACGTCCCACCGCCTCTTCCAGGCCCCAGATGTACTTGTGAGACACAAGGGACACCTCCATGGAAGCTGGCTTCTCCTCCACCTGCGGCCCTCGAGTACGTATCTAAGAGACCTCCTTCATTTACTGGGATACCTGGTTCCTTTACCGAGTTAACCGAATCGTTCACCGGGTTACCAGAGTCGTTTACAGGGATACTAGAATCGTTAGCCGAGTTATCCGAGTCGGTTATTGGATTACTTGAGTCTGAGTCTGGGTTACCTGAGCCTCTTTCGGGAGTACCCGAGTCTGTTAAAGGGATATGCGAGTCTGTTCCTGGGTTAATGGATGCTCTACCTGCACTACACGAGTGTGGGTTACCGGATACTGCCGCAGACGTACTCGAGTCCGCTCCTGCGCAACATGATCCTGCAAGTCAGCCACCCGAACCTGCAGCAGCAGCTGTCACCATCAACGTCACTTCAGCCGACCAGCAGGTGGTGACAGTTGAACGTGGCCGGCTCCGAAGTGCTGACATCACCTCCGAAGTAGTACTGAGGCAAGGAGAAGAGGTTGCTGATCGTAAGGATGTTTTACTTCGAAGTAGCAAAGAAAACTGTTCTCACAGGGACTGTCTTTATAAGGCGAGAGAGTGTTTTCGGAATAGAGGAGACACCAATGAAGGAGCGAGACAAAGTGATGTAATTTCGTCTCCCGAGGAACCTGCCGCAGTAATGAGATCAAACTCGAAATACTTGAAGGACAAGCGGCGGATTTTTCGATCATGGAGTTTCTTTGGTGCAAAATCTTCCCCGGATGACTTTACAAAGTCACTATGTGCATCTCCTACCTCATCGTCTACTAACTCCTCGACATCGTCAATGTCCTCGCCGTTATGTAGTACAGACACTTTCACTACATTCTCCACTCCGAGACGCTGGTCTCGCCTTGTAGAGGAGAAGAGGAGGAGCCTCCAGTCTTCCATCTTCCCAGAAGCTTTCTCTTTTCTGTCCGTCAGCGGGAAATTATCCTCTAGGGTGAATTCTGAGCCCAACGTGACGCCGAAGAAGTGCAATAGGAGTCACGAGCAAGTCACTGCTAGCCCACAGAAGCTGTCGAAGAACTTCGAGAAACGTAAATCCGTCGCATCTTGTATCTTCTCCGAGACGGTGAACGAAGACTTCACACCATACGTCTTGGCCGATACAAGACCCACTTATAATACTGCGTCTAGGTTCAAAGCTGGAAACCCTGAACCGCCGAAGAGAAGACCGGATTTGAAGCTTAGGAAATTTTCCTTGAATGGGAATATACAGGAAAGGCGTGAGAGTGCTGTAAGGGATTCTTGTCTAGCAAGATTGGAGAGTGCATCTTCCGAGTCGAAAATCACAAACTTAGCAGCACAGTTAACGAAATGTAACTTCCAGCCGGCGGGATTAGAACCACGAGTGAGAAAGCATTTACCACGTCGTGTGAGACCCAAGTCTTTAATCATAATCCCCGAGTTACAAGTGGAAAAAAGTAAACGAAATGTGAAAAGTGATGGAAAAGTCACGAAACCTGAAGCAGCAGTGTTGAGAAAGTCAGAGTCACTATCTCTCTCCAAGGGTGTCAGGATCTCCACAAGGGACCAGAAAGTGACTCCTCATCAAACGTCACAGATCAGTAGTGAGTCTAGGAGTCAGAGTCATGATAACCTCACCATGAGGGATCCTGTGGATGGACCTGACTATATGCGTTGTCATAGGGACACCTGGGACGAACCTGACTCCATGCACCGCCAGAAAGATCCCGTGGACTGGCGCAACTACTTGCGCCTCCAGAGTGAGTCCTCTCTCTTTGAGAGTCACAACTCTGCCTTCAGAACACCAGGACTGGCTCTAAGAGAACGCAGAAAGAGCTCACGGTCTTGGTCATATTGTACCAGGATGGTGACGGGACCGACGGGGAAAGGCAGGGAAGCATGCCTGACGGAGGGAAGTCCCCGTAAGTCAGAAAAAAAGGCCCTGCGCACCTTCAGAGCACGCACCCTCTTTCCCAGAGAGACTACGCCATACACCATCGATGCTCTCAGGCCATGTAAACTGTTCTCCAGAGACGGGACGCCAGGAATCATCGACACTTCTACCTGGTAAGTAACATCGTGGATTTTTGTTATCTGTAGCCTTTTCAAAGGGGGGGAAGGGATGTAGAGTGCCTTGATCTAAGGAATTGTAACTACCTGCCTCTTTCTTAGATCAGGACTGATTTACACCTCTCCCTATTCAGCACCTGAGCTCAGTGTTCAGGCGTTGCTTGAACCTTGAGTTTAGCGCTTCTCCTTGATTTTATTACTAGTAATGTTGAGTAAAACACATGTGCAACAGTTAGCTTTATTTCTGAAACGTTTCGCCTATACAGGAGGATTCTTCAGTCGAATACAGAGGTGACTAAATCAAGAGACAGCAGAGGCAGTGGAGAGGTAAAGATGTAGTCACTTCATCAGCCTTGAAGAAGCCTACTATGTAGGCGAAACGTTTCAGAATGAAGATGCTTATGTTGCACTCGTCTCGCTCATTTACTTGTCTGTACTTTATACACTTAATATAACGAATATCAATGTTGATGTGTTTACCCTTTCTTCTGCCCTGTTCCCTTCCTTCTTTCCTTCCTTCTTTCCTTCCTTCCATTTCTTCTGACGTTAGGTCGCCTCTTCACGTTGGTGGTGGTAGGATTCCAAGGACGGTGCTGTTTGACTATTGTCTTCCAGACATTGTCCTTGAACTGTGGGTGACAGTTGTCTTCCAGATACCGTCCTTGAACTGTAGGTGACAGTTGTCTTCCAGATACCGTCCTTGAACTGTGGGTGACAGTTGTCTTCCAGATACCGTCCTTGAACTGTGGGTGACAGTTGTCTCCCAGATACCGTCCTTGAACTGTGGGTGACAGTTGTCTTCCAGATACCGTCCTTGAACTGTGGGTGACAGTTGTCTCCCAGATACCGGCCTTGAACTGTGGGTGACAGTTGTCTCCAATACCGTCCTTGAACTGTGGGTGACAGTTGTCTTCCAGATACCGTCCTTGAACTGTGGGTGACAGTTGTCTTCCAGATACCATCCTTGAACTGTGGGTGACAGTTGTCTCCCAGATACCGTCCTTGAACTGTGGGTTACAGTTGTCTCCCAGATACCGTCCTTGAACTGTGGGTGACAGTTGTTTTCCAGATACCGTCCGTGGACTCAATACAACGCAGCTTCAAGAGTCAGCATGACAAGGTCCAAGAGATAAAGAAAAGGTGCAAAGAAAGATTAAGATCCCTTAAACTAATCTTACGTCCTTATGCTGGTTAAAGTAGTCTTGCAAGTGGGGGTCAGGAGCTGAGTCTCAATCCCCCGCAAACAAGAGATGAGTGTGAGTATTAACCCTGAGAACACTGAGAATTTCAGCCTGTCACTTGCCGTCACATGTAGCACTCGACTTTCTGTCTATCTGTGCCTCACTGATAGAAACATATCTTTCTCTTTTTATCGCAAACTCTGATAGAGCCAAGTAGAGCTTTTCCCCTCTTAAGACTCTCCAGCTCTGTTTTATCTCTCACTTTCAAATAGCAATAGCCAGAGTGCATTACGTTTGCTGTTGGTAACTGCAGTACTGCAAGATCTTGTCCATGACAGTGAATGTCTGGCCCATGACAGTGAAGATCTGGTTCATGATACTAGTGAGGAGTTCAGAAGCTCCCTTGATGTGTCTTATCGTGTAACTGTGCATGTGTTTTAGTTTAAGCGTTTGGGAGTGCATCTTGGTAAAAGTGTCTGGTGGATGTGTGAATGTTTGGTGTAGCCTGAGCATAGGTGGATCGTGGTAGTGGATTTGAGAGGTGGCTGGATTTGAGTGGATTTGCATTATTAGGGTTATCAAAAGCTTATTCCTTGGGTGGGTTGGGCGAATATTTTTTAGTGGGTTTGGTTTTGACAAGGCCCATCTTATGTTCTTATGAATCATGGTGGTGGATCACCCGAGGCAGGGGAACCACAACCAAGCCACCGTCAGCTCGGCATTTCCTTCTGAGGTGTTTCCTGCTATTGTCAGGGGTCACCGGATGTCTTCTTGGTATCCTCTTTTTTAACACCCTCCCTCCATCTTACGACGGAGGACGGTATGAATGGGGGGAGCGGGAAGGAAGGAGCTAGGAAGGATGGGAGAAGACAAGTTTGAGAGTCAAGGAACTAGGGAGGGAGAGATCCCCGAGAGCGACAGTTGTTTTTAGTATATATTAAATTAAGTTGTAATCCCTTGTAAGTTATTCAATACAAGGTGTGATGGGTGGCTCGATCCTCCGTTCGACAATCGATCGCCAGTCATTCATTTTTCCGTTTCTCTCTCTCCCCTCATATATATATATATATATATATATATTTTTATATATATATAATATATATATATTATATATATATATATATATATAAATATATATATTATATATATATATGCAAAACAACCACTCTGAAAGAATAGAGAAATTCCAAGCGCTTTCGTGACTACTCACATTTCAAGGAACTATGAAAGTAAAGCATCCAAGGAAGCTATATAAGGGGTCTGGCCACACCTCACTATCAGATCCCACAACGGGTTTAAAAACGGACGCGCGGCGACCCAACTTGGATAGGTCCTTTGCACAACTCACCCACAAACTTCTACCAAGAAAATTTAAAAATTTATTGTTTCCCGTGTATTATTAAATTCTTCCCAAATTCTATTAATTATAAATGGATCTAATTTATATAAACCAAAGGAAATATTCATATTATTGTCAAAACTGCTTTTTATGAAACAAGATTCAATTAATTCCTGTCGACCATGGACTTGCTTGATACTACTTTCTCAACTTTTTGAAATCAATTGGATGGTTAAAATCTCTTCATGAATAAAATAGAGCATTGGAATCTTGTCCAGTTCTAATGCTATATTTTATGTTGTTTTTAATCTTAGTTCGAGATTTTACCAGTTTGACCCTAATAAACTTTATCGCAAATTTTACAAGGAAACTTATAGACACTCCATCAGCATTTTGGGGCAATTCTTTATCAAAAGTTTTTTTACTGTATCAAGATTTTTGAATACAACTTTAATATTAAAAGTCTTAAGAAGAGAAGGCATATCAACCAAGTTTTCATGGTAAGGGAGAACCAACATATTTTTAGTTGAATAAGGCTGGTTGTCCCCTTTTTGGATTATAAAAAATTTTTTCTAGCAACTTTAAAAGATTTATCAATTACATTTCTTGGTATTTTAAATCATTTACCCATTTTCATAAATTTTGGATAACCTCATCTATGAACTCAGGACTACAAATTCGTAAAGCTCTCAAAAACCCATCCAAGTGGGTCGGGCGCGCGTCACGTGTTTAACCGTTTGGATCATAGTGAGGTGCTGCCAAACCCCTTATATAGATTTTGGATCTTTTCTTTCATGTTCCTTGAAATGTAGTATCCGAAAGCGCTTGGAATTTTCTTATTTTTCAAGTGGTTGTTTTGCATATTTTGAAATCCCTTTTACTGTGATCTTATTGCATATATAATATATATATAAAATATATATATATATATATATATATATATAATATATAAATATAATTAAAATAATATATATAATAATATATATATGTTGTGTGTGTGTGTGTGTGTGTGTGTATATAATATATAATATATATTTTATTTTATATATAAATATATATATATATTTTGTGTTTTTTATATAATTTTTTTTATTATATAATATAAATATTTTTATAATAATATATATATAAATATATTATAATATATATATTAAATATAATAATATATTCGTCCGAATAGGCAGACTTGCGATCCTTGGCTTAATAAACAAACGCTCATCTTGCATATAAGACAAGTAAAATTGTGTATGCAAAATTTCGCCAAATCCTTCTGAACCTAACTAAAAAAATTAATTTGATTGTGTTTGTTAGTATTAAATTAAATTGTAAACGTTTAAAATATATTTGTTGGGTTAGGCTAAAATAAATTGTTCTTGTTATAATAAGGTTAGGTAATTTTCTAAATTCTTTGTGCAAAATTAAAAATTTTTACATTAACATTAATGAAAAAAATATACTTTTTAAAAGTTAAAGAAAAATTTCAGAAAGGGCTTATTTTAAATGAGTTCTTGCTAAATTGACGTTTTTACATATCGGGACATAATATATATATATATATATATATAATATATTTTATATATATATATTATATATATATATATATATATATATATATATATATATATTATATATATATAAAGGATGTGCCAAATATTTGTATCGTCATTTTATTGTATCGATCGTTTAAAGGAAAAAGTCCGATACAAGCCTGTACTTTCTAAAATATTAATATCTCTTGGTGTATATACACTGAAAATACACACCTCTCGGTGTATATACACACACATATACAACCTTGTCAAATAATGTATTTTCTTATTTAGAAAAATCTACAAATAGTTTCACAAGTATTAATGTAAAAATTGTAGAATAGTCCTGAAGGTGAGGTGTTGTAGACACACACATGTAGTGATTACGTAGATCTGGCTTAGGATGACTCAAGAGTCTCAAAACGGGTTCAATCCCGGCCGGGGGTATGGTTGGTTTTTTTGGCTTAGGATGAGCGATGAAGTCAGTGCGACTTATTACACAAATAACCCGTCTTAGTGTGACTTGTAAATGGTCGTAAGATCTTCTCTCCTTTGTACGGGTTGTGTGTGTATTGTTACTGTCATGATACTGTGCCTTTTTCATCTTAATGTTACTTATTACTTTAAATCCTAGCTGGTAGAACGTTTTGCCCAATTCCTGCCGAGACAGGGCCACGTTTAGCGAAAGAAGTTCGCGTACATAGTATACAGAAATGTGTGTACATTGGTCTTGAGGATACACATGTGTTATGGACACGTGTGTATCCATCGTACGTGCAAGGTTTGGGAATCTTTATTGAGGAAACGTTTCGCCATCCAATGGCTTCTTCAGTCCAATATAGAGAAAAACGGTGGAAGATGGGAGGAGAATGAGGTAATTATTCCCTCAGCCAGGAATCAGTGTGTTCAGTCTGTCAAGGTTAATTGATTGAACACATCGACTCTATTATTAGGGTCTCATCATCTCATTCTCCTCATCTTTCACCGTTCTTCAATATATTGGACCGAAGAAGCCACTGGCTGGCGAAACGTTTCCTCAATAAAGTGTCCCAAATGCTGCACAAGTGTCTTATTCTTAAACTTGTCGGTTTTCTAAACCACTACATCTCATTTGCGTTGTTCCAGTCAGGGTATTGTGCTTTCTAATGCACACTAGACTATCTGTATTAACGCTACATAAAGTTAAACATTAT